TCACTGTACTTTATCTTTTTCATCTAATTGGGAACTCTGGGTGTTTTTTAATTTGGGGGGAATGAACAGTATTTTCTAAATTCATTATGAATTGTGTGTCATGACAGTTATTGTTTCCATATTCTATTTTGTAGTGATAAGAAACTGATGTTGGCAAGCTACCAACTTTGTTTGCCCAGGTGTTTATACAGTGCATTGCTAGACTAATCTTAAACATCAATTATCACCAATTTGGGGCTTTATTGTTTTGAAATCTATAACTCATACTTTAGTACTTTGTAACATTTGCACTACATTGCATGATTTTTAACTTCTAGTTTGTCCTGTGTTTCCAATTAGACTCCAAGTGCTTACTGGGTTTAAGATCATCATAGGACCCTATACTTCGCCTAAAATATACTTTCATTTGAGCTTTGACTTGACTGTATTTTTATTGTCTTCTCTGGTTGAGGCATTTTAGTTGGGGGAAAAAAAAGCTTGTATCTTCTCCCTGTATTTGTAACCAGAGCATGATAGGTTCTAAACACCTTCATTGCAAATATTTTTAAATTGAACTTACTCCTGAGTTCATGCAATTTGTATAAAAATATCTGGAAGACTAGAATGTTCATCTCACTGATATCAGGTGAGATCTGCTAATTCATTCCACTGAATTTGGCTATTGTGAAACGGTAGGGAGAGGAAGCCTAATTATAGTACCACCCATCCTACGCGCTCAGCTTTCCTCCACCTAGAGTCTAGGAACACCCAGACCAGCAATCCTAGCCTCACTGAAGAAAATAATTAAAGAGTAGGCCACTCAACACTGTTCTAATAAGACAAAGTTGTTTTTACAACGTTAAGATTGCCTAATTAACAAACTTTTTATGTTGTTAATTTCATCATGTATGAGTTGCTATTTCCTGGATAAAAATTGAAACATACATGTTAACTTACATAATGTCTATAACAGTGGGAAATAATATAGAGCAAAAATATTTTCTCCTACGTGTACTATTTTCACCTTTGGTTGGCCTAAGAGAAAAATTCTTACATGGTAATATGAGAACATTCTTCATCAGATACAGAGGAATCTTTAACCAAGCCGTACAGCAGCCTCTTATTGAATAGACGTACATTTAAGGACTATCATGAGAGAGAACACCTTTTATTCAATATATTTATAGTATATTTATAGCTCTTCTACAGTATATGTGTGAATTACTTGGAGAAATGAGAAAAAAATAGGTGACTGTCTAGTCCTCAAGGATTTTAATGCCTGGAAAGAAAGATTAAATGTATAATATTTTCCTGAAAATATACAAGAAAGTCAAATTATGAAATTTTAAAAATAGCTTTACATATTTCAATGGAAATTTTTATTCTATAGAGAGCTAGAAAATACTCAATCTCTAATGAAAGCTCACTTTAGATATAATCTTTGACAATATTTTCATACACGAAGGCTCTTTAGTTTATCTTCTTTCACAAGGGAACAGCATCAGACTTAGTGCCCAATTACGTGTCTGCAGGAGGCCAAAGAAATATCATTGCCGAAGGTAGCATCTTTACCTCCAAGTGAGCAAGACAGGTCCCATCATTGCTATAAGAACTTTGAACTTGGGAAATAATCAGTAATGGCTTCCAATATTGAAAGATATTTAAAAGCTGTAACTTTGCTGAGAACATTATAGATAAAAACACTGTAGAAGTTCAGGTGTTGAGAGATTATCTGCAACTGAAAGGATCTGAGAATCAGAGGTCAGAGAAACATACAGTCTATCACATACTTTCTTTTTTTGCTATTTTTCTTTTTTTCTTGTTTTGTTTTGTGTAGAGCAGTGGTTCTCAAATATTAGTATGCATGAGAATCACCTGGAGGGCACGTTAAAGCCCAGATTGCTGGCCCCACCCAAGAGATTCTGATTCAACAGGTCTGACGTGGAGCTGGAGAATTTGCATTTGTAGTAAGTTTCAGGTGTTGCTACTGCTGCTTGTCCAGGACAATTTTGAGGGTTTCAATATCTAAAGGGGAAAGGGAAAGATATTGAGAAATACATAATTTTCATGTGTATTTTTTCTGCAAGAGAATGCTACAGTGGAATGACTGGAACAACAGCAAAGAACACTTTAGGTTCTTGATACACTGTCGGGTTGCTATCAAGAAAGGGTATACACATTTACGAACTCGCCAGGGGAACATGAATGTTCTTCTCTGAATAACCTCTGTTATTGACAGTCATAGGTTTTTTTTTGTTGTTGTTGTTATACAATTTGATTTGATTTTTGTATTTCTTTGATTAGGCTGAATATTTGTCTACATTTATTAACCGTATATATTTTATCTTACATAAACTTTCTCTTTGTGTTCTTTTCAGTTTTCAATCAGTGTCAAAATTCCTACTTGTTTTCAATACTTGACTTTCAATGCATCTCCTTCCTGTGAAGTTCTCCTGACAACTCTACACGTGGTCCCTAGTTTGGGCCTCCTCTTCTAATAGTAAATTTATTACTACTTCTAATAGTAATAAATAGTATTGTGTACTCGCAATACTTGGAGAATTTCTATGCTGTATCCTAACTGTTTACACTCCTCTCTCCTGCAGTGGACAATGAGCAACTCAAGAACTATGACTAAGTCTTATTTTTATTCTTTTCTTCAGCACCTAATCAGCTGCTTGGCACAAGGTCTCTGTCAATTATTTAATGAATTAATGAATAAATCTACAAAGATTACGGAAGAGTTGGTTTTATCTCAACATGGACTTCATCCAGATGGTATATCTATATTTTGTATAAAACAAAAAGGAGTACTAAGTCCTTAGGTAAGTCTATGAAAGCTTGTTTAAAGTAATGTAAGTGTTAATTGGACAGTGTATAAAAATTCACACTATGAAACTGCTAGACAATGAAATATTGCTGGCAACAGTTTGCTCAAAAGAAAACCAAGCTTTTTTCTTTCATTTAAAGAAAAGTAATTTCCTCTGCAAAATATTATAAAATTATATTTATTGATTCATCTGGGGCCTTTTCAAGTTAACTGGACAATTATCATGACACACCTCTCCAAAAAAGAATACAAGAAACATTCTTCCTCTGACAATAAAACACACATGTACGTACACATTGAAGATACAAACAGAAGTTAAATTTCAAAAACGACTGCATTTTTTTCATCATGTTATACTGTCAAATCATAATTCTTGTATTCCTAATTTGGCTTTTTCACAGTTTTGCTATACCAAAAAATTACATAAAAAATTACCCAGCTTTATATTATCTCTGAGATACGGGAAAAAACATAAGTGAAACAAATGAGGTTGCTGCTAAGTTGGAAATAAGTAAACATGAGTACTCTTGTCTTTGGAAGGGACTTCTGACTGGAGGTCTTGAGTCTACGCAAATGTAGCAGCAGGCTTTGCATCTCGGAGTCCTGAGAGTGTCCGATCCAAAGGAACTCCAGAGATGCTGAAACCCCTCTAACCTCCCGATCTGTTCTTTTACCAAAGGTGAAAGCTCTAACCTGCAAGTTGGGTTTAGAGTCTCCGCTTCAGTTGCAGCTGCGTTTCCTCCACTTTTCCCTTTCGGTCATTATGTTGCTGACCCTTGTAAACGTTTAAATGACTGTTAAAGTGCTCAGTTGTGCTCCTTTTCAGCTATATTCTGCTCCAGTTTTGAAGGTGTAATTTGAAGTAAAATCTTGGAACCTAAGATCTTACTGTCTCCACAGACAGCAGAAAACAGCTGTAATAGGTAGCGTTAAGGTAGATGTTAAGGCCATTGTTAGTATCGTCAACTGAGGCTAAGTCCTGGGTGGGCTTTTTGCTGTGCCAGATGCCCCACTGTGCCACACAGTCAAACAGTAAACATGGCTCTACAGTAGGTCACACACTGGTTTTCAAAGAAGCATAAATCCTTCCACCAAAGAATCCACTGACAGGATAAATCTTATATAAAACGGAGGTTTTAAAAACTGAAAGAACATTTTGCAACCCACCCCCAAATTTTGATTCCTACTGACACCCTTGACTCAATACAAAAGAAACTGGACTTCAAAAGATAAAAATGAATTTTTGCTTCTTTGGGTTGTGGGCTATAGTCGTATCTTGCTCTGTGTCTAGTTATAGCTTCAGGTCTCCACATGAGTCAGCAAGTACTCCCCGATGGTGGCCGGGGAAGCCCCTCCAACCGCCTGACCTGGTCATATTTCCCACCTCACTTCTTTAGGAACATCATAATTCAGGCTGTGCTTAGATCAATTGGCAAAGAAATGAACTAAACAGGGACAATGATGATATAAAATCAATGAATCAGGTTTCACCAAAAAATGAATAGGGTAAGAAATTATGCTTTTTAAGACTGCCCATCACATAATCATAAATGGTGGTGTTTCTACTATATTTTATAAGACCCATATATCTCAAGGCCTTTCTAAACAGAACAGGGCCACCAAGTACAAATGTAGGGACAATACCATTGCTTTTTAAGAATTTTAACATTGGTGACAATATATGAAATTTTAGTTGCTGTTAACAACAAAGTGAAAATGCACTGAAGGGGTTCATGACTATAGAATGGTAACACATTGTTAAGATATCAGATACTTTTGAAAATACATATACATGCTTTTGTTATGGAAGATAACTTCTAAGGATTTAAATTGTAAGTTTTTTTTAATTTTTTAATTTTTATTTTTTTATTATTATTTTTTTTGAGACGGAGTCTCGCTCTGTCACCCAGGCTGGAGTGCAGTGGCCGGATCTCAGCTCACTGCAAGCTCCGCCTCCCGGGTTCACACCATTCTCCTGCCTCAGCCTCCCCAGTAGCTGGGACTACAGGCGCCCGCCACCTCGCCCAGCTAGTTTTTTGTATTTTTTAGTAGAGACGGGGTTTCACCGTGTTAGCCAGGATGGTCTCGATCTCCTGACCTCGTGATCCGCCCGTCTCAGCCTCCCGAGTAGCTGGGATTACAGGCTTGAGCCACCGCGCCCGGCTTTTAAAATCATGGTTCTTTGACTCAACATGTGACATATTCTTCAGCGCACCACAGAGTGAAAAACACCGTCACAGACTGGATTCCATGTGAGTGGAACTGCTGCACCAGTTCCTGTACGTAAGAGGTCTTATGAAAATCTTGTGAAAAAATATCCGAAATACCGGAGTTCTGAAAATGATAAAAATCCAAGGGTCCACAATTGAAATCACAGATAGAAATCTCAAGGCTCGGAGGTCTTCTGCTTCTTCAGAGGTCCTGATCTTCTCCTTGATATCCTTAAATGCTCCATAGTAAGCGCGATACTGTTTTGAAGAAAAACATTCCATTATGATGTGGAAAGGTTAATGGCCGCAATCGATTCACTTACTTCACCTAAGTTTCTGTAAGAACATGGCAGCTTAGCTTGGAACACTCGTTTTTGGTACATTTACAAGTAGCTAAGGCCACTGCAGCTGATGGGTGCGAGTGGGGAGCTGGGAAGGTGGGGTGTGGCCAGACCTGGGAGGCGGGGCAGAAGCTGAGAACTTGTCAGAGATCCAGTCTCATTAAGTTCCTGAAGGCTATTCTACCTGCTGGGCTCAAGTTTCTAGGTCCCTGCCAGGCCAAGAAGATTTGCTGAATCTTTTACAAACAGGGTCACCATGCTTTCATACAGAGTCTCCTTCTAGCTAGCGTCCTTGCACGTACTTTCTTCAATTCTCGTTTCTTCTCCCTGCTTCCTGTCGTCTCCTATTAGTTCTCTCAGAAATAAGTCACACCTGTGAAATGTCACATGTACGCAGACACCAATAGAATGGAAGCTTTTAATCAAAGTGAAGAAACAGGAAATATGACAATGAAAAGACCTGAGATGACTTGGAAAAAAATACTGTTCAACTCATGTAAATTCCTCTACTTTTTCTTAGCACAGATTGTTAACCTTTTCATGGGCGACATACTTTTTTTTTTTTTTTTTCCAATCTAGAAGGCAAAAACATGCACAAAAATATAAGACTGCCTTACCTAGGTCCAACCAACTCCTATTGTCTGATCACATCTAGATGTGTATAAGAGACAGGCCTTACCTAGGTCCAACCAACTCCTATTGTCTGATCTTCCCTGGGGTCTCTGTAGCCTCCTTGGAGTCTTGCAAAATGCCTCAAACAACAGCTTTTCCTCCTATTCAGTCAACACTGATCTCTAGACCTAGCACAACCATTGCTTTCCACTCTGCCTAAGGCTGGCCACTTCTTTTTGTTTTCTTTTTTCCATTGCATTATCTATGCCTACGATTCTAAATACATATTAGGATAAATGGACTCTAATGGAACAGGAAGCATGCAAACTCAACATTAGTAAGAAGGGATATGGATAAGAGACTGGACCTATTCAAGGCAATCAGAGAGCATCTCCTGGAGAAGATGCATTTTTTCCATAATCATTTCCTTACTGTTCTACTTTCTTCTCTATAGAGCATTTCAGTGGGCTCAGCCACTCCAATCTATTGCACTTAGGAAGACACCCTACATTGGACTCAGCTGTATAATCTGGATGCCCTCGCCCATCTGAAGTCGGGCGGTGGCAGAGGGAATCTTAACAACTTCTCCATAACATAAATATTGTATTTCATTAAGCTTGATGCAAAGTTTGTTGGCGTATGATTTTTAAAATTCACTTTAATGTTGAACACTTAACTGTTGAATTTTCAAATTTCCAGTTTGATGCAATAGGAAGAAAGTGTAAGTGTAGAGAATATGGCATGAGCTTCAAAGGCAGCTTGCAGTGGATTGTCTAAGGCATGTAACATATTTTCAGGCCAGGCACGGTGGCTGATGCCTGTAATCCCAGCACTCTGTGAGGCTGAGGTGGGTGGATCATTTGAAGTCAGGAGTTGGAGACCAGCCTGGCCAACATGGTGAAACACCTACTAAAAATACAAAAATCAGCCGGGCGTGGTGGTGGGCGCCTGTAATCCCAGCTACTCGGGAGGCTGAGGCAGGAGAATTGCTTGAACCCGGGAGGACGAGGTTGCAGTGAGCCTAGATCGTGCCATTGCACTCCAGCCTGGGTGACAAGAGCAAAACACTCTCTCAAAAAACAAAAAAACATGTTTTCACCCAAATTATTTTTACTTTAGAAAACCACAATGTTCTGGAGGTTGGTGGGGGAGCAGGGATGGATGAGAGAGGATGTCCATGTATATATTAGGTGTTATGAGAGAGGTCTATAAGCCAGGTAAAGATAAGTACAAGCTATTTAATCACTTGTCAGAATCGATGAAGTCAGAGAAGAGATAGAGGACACCCTGAGTGCTTGAGACAGCTCTCAGGTGTATGCTATTTTAGGGAGCAGAAAGAATGGGTGCGATGCTAGTTTCAAAGGAGGCTGTTGGAGGCCTGTAAGGGATAACAGGCAAGGGAGGGCCCAGGGAAAGGGTCTGAGGTAGATTTAAAGAGCAAAGGGCAAGGTCTGTTGTGTTACAGTGCGTGGACTGGATAGAAGAGGGCATCAGAAGCCAGAGAGGGCTGCTGGGCAGGGATGTCCAGGAGCTGGCAGCAACATTATTTCAATGCCTCCCATGTCCATCAGAGGGCGTTCTTCTCACACCAATTCTTTCTGGATGTTGAGCACTTTTAAAAAATGCCTGTGTATTATTATTATTATTTTTTTAGACAGAGTCTCACTTTGTCACCCAGGTTGGAGTGCAGTGGCATGATCAAGGCTCAATGCAGCCTTGACCTTCTGGGCCCAAGCAATCCTCCCACCTCAGCCAAGTAGCTGGGACTACACACATGTGTCACCATGCCTGGCTAACTTTTTTTTTTTTTGAGGCAGGGTCTCACTGTGTTGCCCAGGCTGGGCTCAAACAATCCTCCTGATTTGGCCTCCCAAAGTGCTGGGATTACAAGTGTGAGCCACCACGCCCCAGTGAACAATACATTTCGAATACAAATCCAGTGACTTGAAAGTCAAAATAACCTAATGGATTTGATGTGGATAAATGCTGGCTAGAAAATAAAATAATTTGTTTTAATTTTGCTAGTATCATTTAGTTGTCTAGATCCCAACTAATCAAGCATTCTCAAATAGGTGGAATTATATTTTGCCACATTCCACTTTGAGGAGAAAGGGGCAAATGGAAAACAAACTCAGGTAAAGTGTTTTCTTTTTAAGTCAACCATATAGCTTATTGTCACCCATGTCTCCCCCTTCAGATAAAGATACAATTGCTACGTCCATTACTTAGAAGAGTGTAAAATCTCCAATACCTATTCAATGTGTCCAGTAGGTCAAAGCTACTGTCATTAAAAACATGCTTTGCCTTTTTCCCCTTCATTCTCTCACAGGTGTACGGTGAATTTTATGAAGGCTAGATAACAAATGATGACGTCACTTTCACAAATAATAGAATATGTGGTTGTGTATCCTTGTGTTTTCTAGACTTTTTAAGGTAGTAGGTTGAAGGTACACGTGAGTTTTCAGAGATGTTTTCAGTACTTTTGTGATTTTTCCACTTTACTTGCTATAATCTCTGTAACTTTACTATCATTCAATCATTTTGAAATCCCCACATTTTACTTGTACATATGGAAAACACAAGAGGTACATTTTATCTTGTTTTGCAACCATATTTTTAGAATTTCTTAGTTTTATTTTCTATTATGAGAAACACTGATGATTTAATCCACATAAGCAAAAGCTGTCTGGGTCATTAATAATTTTAAGAGTATAAAGGGGTCCTTAGACCAAAAAAAGTTTCAGAGCCACTGCCTTAGCATATAGCACTATCTCCTGAGAAGATAGTAGTTCTTGATTTTTTTTTTCTGTCCAGCAGGCAACAGTAATATATGGAAGTTATAAATAGTAATAATAATGATGCTAATTATTGAGACAATGGGCTAGGTGATGAATGTATATATTGTGTATATAATTTCAAATCTTATAGATTTGAACAAGTTATAGAAATATCTTACAGAACAAGTATGGTTATAATCATTTTACAGATGAGGAAACTGAGGTCAGAAAGGGTAAATTAGCTGCTACCATAGCTAGTAAGTGATGAAGCCTGATTCAAACCCACGTCTGATGCTAAAGCCCTTATCCTTTCTAGAAAATGGTGGTTCTTGTGAAGAATGCTGTCAACATTAAATATATTTGGAACTTTGCAAGTTTTTTAGAAAATCTTTTTCAACTCCATTATTTCCTTCAATTCTCACATTACCCTATGAGTGATCCAAGTCCCCTTAGAGACATGTCCAAATGCAGTGTTCTTTCCACTGTATGGTGCTGCTTTCTGCATTGGTCTGACTAAAACATTCAAACTAAGGTCAAAATTTCCATGCATTTGGGTACTGTCTGCTTTATCACAGCATAGATGAGTGAGGCCCCAACTTTATAATAGGAGCTCCTAAAAGATTTTATAAAGGGCCAGATAGTAACTATTTTAGGTTTTATGGGCCAAGAGACAAAATCATAAATATTTGATAGGTACTAATATAACATGGGAGAAAACACATTTCCACATTTTTTTGATGGAAATCAAAATGTATTAATAATTGAGTACAATTTCTTTTTTTTTTTAGACGGAGTCTTGCTCTGTCACCCAGGCTGCAGTGCAGTGGTGCAATCTCAGCTCACTGCAACCTCTGCCTCCCAGGTTCAAGCAATTCTCCTGCCTCAGCCTCCCGAGTAGCTGGGATTACAGGCGCCTGCCACCACGCCCAGCAAATTTTTGTATTTTTAGAGAGAGGGTTTCACCATGTTGGCCAGGATGGTCTCAATCTCTTGATCTCATGATCTGCCTGCTTTGGCCTCCCAAAGTGCTGGGATTACAGGCGTGAGCCACCATGTCTGGCTGAATACAATTTTTTTGTAATATGTATCTACTAAGGAGAAGAATAAAATGTTTTCTTGGAACAGTATTTTTCTTGAAATAGTACTTGGCTCAATTGAAGCTCAAAGCTCTTGGGCCTTATCAAATTGATTCCAGAGATTCATTTGTAAGAATTATTCTTAACTCCAGGGAGATATAGAACAGTGGCCAGGATAGGTTTGCCCTGTGAGCTGTGGTTTGCCAACTCCTGTTTTAGAGTGTGATTCTACAAATGTGAACCCTGAATCTGAGCTTGCGTATCACCTGGGAACTTGTTAAGAATAAAAGTTCTTTAAAAATGTCTGAATTAGAAACTCCGGGGAATGGGGTCCAGCCATCTTTTTTCTAGAAGCCCTGCTGGTGATTTTGAGCACGTTAAAGTTTGAAAACCACTGCTATATATCATCTGTGCCTATGTCTATATTTAGACGGATATAGATTCATGTGTTTATTTATTCTGGAGGCATACTGTTCCCATCCCTGCATGCTCATGCCCCAGACTTCTTTTCCCGCACACAGTAAGGCCTTCAGTTAAAGGAAAATCGCTTTGTATTTCCCTTTCATTCACCATTGAAAGTAATATCCAAAATTGCTACACTCAGAAGAAATTTAACAACTTTCCTATTCACAGAAGTCTCAGGATTTCGAGAACATGGGATTGGCAATGGAATTTCTTTTAGTGTTGTTTTTGTTGAACAAGTACCTTGGGGGTAGGAGAAAGGAGAGAAGCAACACTGAAAAAGTTTCCTCAAGTCTCACCTACTCCCAGGTGTCTTGGCGGGGACTCCAGGAACAAATGCCTTCAGAACGAGGAGGTAATTTCATCTCCATCGCTATCCTCATTACTAAATTGAAACCAGAGATAATGGCTTTCGTGTCACCTCACTTGCCAAGATACACTCAAAACCCGTCAAGCCGGGTTATGAAAACGACACCAGCAGCTAAAACATACAAAGAGCCTCGGCCTCCATCGCCACAATCCCTGGTGGATGCAGCACCAGAAACAGCAGCCGTGGCGCCTCAAAGTTTACGCACGCGTTTTTCAAAATTGAAACTATGCATCTGCAAATCACTCTGGCTGGATTAAACTTCTTTTTCCCTATCTGTGCCAACACCGGGGAGAAGATCCTCCCAGATGCCATTCACCCATTTCTGATACCACTGAAGTCATGAGCAGGTCTAACAAAATAAAACATTACCCAGGCGTCGGGAAGTAGAGGACTCCTATTGCCAAGGAGGAACTAAGTTCTGCTCCTCCTAAGGTGCAAAAATTACCCTGAAATCTCCCCAGAAGGAAGCAGAGAGGAGGGAGTTCTGCCACATGGAGAAGGTTTTGCTGGGCTAAGGAGACACAGCCAGGCTCAGTCTTTCCCTTCCTCTCTCTAACTTTCCCTCATTTCGCTCCGCAAACTGAGTTATATCTCGGGGCTGTGGAGGGAATCCAATTTTGGGAACTCAGCAACAAACCTTCCTTGCCCAGGGCGCAGCTCGCCTGACGCCGCGCCCATCCCACTCCGCTCCACCCTTCCCGCCTCGCATCCGCGGCCGGACAGTCCCAGTGCCCTGCTGCCTCGGGGCCCGGGGACTCACAATTACGGGCAGAGAACACATAGTGAAGAGCACGGTCATCAGTGCCAGCAGCAGAAGGTGATCCAGCTCCTCCAGGGGCTGCGGGGACGCTTCCCTCCCGTCCGCACGCGGATCGGCACGGTCCCTGGTGCAGGAGCGCCGCTGCTGCTGCAGCCGCCGGTGCATCGCGTAGAGGTTGCGCATGGCGCCGAGGTTGCACAGCACGGTGGCGAAGACCAGCAGCGCCATGAGGCTGGAGTAGAGCACAGAGTACCCCAGCACCGACAGCGAGCCCTCCTCGTGGACCATTTGGATAAAGCACCAGGTGCCGGGGCAGTACTGCACTAACTTCCCGAAGCCCATGAAAGGTAGCGCACAGAAAGCCAGGCAGAAGGCGCTCACCACTGGGGCCACCAGTGCGCCCCGGCGCAGGGTGATGTGCCGTCGGTAGAAGAAGGGGTGCCCTAGGGAGAGCCAGCACTCCAGTGCCATGGCCAGGAGTTGCAGTGTCGAGGAGAGCCCAAAGAAGGACATGAAGAAGGCGAATGCTTGGCACAGCGAGTTGTCCAATGCGGGCGCAAGCACCCGTAGACTCCGGTTCTGAGCGTAGGCAGCCAGCACCACGGGGCTTAGGAGGCACTTGCCCAGCAAGTCGGTGACCGTCAGGCCACACACCAGCACGTAGAAGACCGAGGGCGGCGGGCGCAGTGAACGCGGGGAGCACCACCCCAGCCCCGAGCGCGCCAGCAGCCCCAGGGCCAGCAGGTTGCCCAAGAGGCCGGTGCTGAAGAGCACCGCGCCCATCATCGCCGAGTTGCCCTTTTCCACCGAGGTGGTGTTCTGGCAGCGGTAGAAAGGCGACCTCATGGCGTGCGGGAGCAGAGGGCTGGAGTGAAGGCTGCGGAAGGGCGAGGGTCCCGGCGCCCAGGTGCTAAGGAGCCCCCGGCAGCTCCGCGCGTGGGTCGGACAGAGAGGCTGCGCCACAGATAAAGCTCTGAGGGCGGCGGGGTGTTCCCCACAGCAGGAACCTCCTATCTAAACTCGCGGGTCACACCCCTCTTTGAGAGGCGGGACGCTCTGCAGGGTGAGCGCCTGGCGCTGGCATTGAGGAGCGCGGAGCAGGCTAGTGAAGAGCTCAGCCCGGATGCGCTGCGTTCTCAGTAGAGACAGACTGGTGCCGAGTCGGAAGGGCAGGAGGAAAATAGCCAGAATTCCAAGCACCCAACACCAGCCCTTCTAACGAGGCAAGAGAAGAACTACTGAAATGGAGGGGAAATTAAGCAGCAGCCACCTGGGAGGAGGGCAGTGCGAAGGATGCTGGTGGTGGAAATGGGGTGGCCAAGAACTCTGAAGATGAGCGAAGAGGGGAGGCTGAGAAAGGGCTTCCACCTAGTTGTCTTGAATTAGCGAGTTAAGGAAGGGTAAAGATAACTCGTGTCTGGAAAGCCCCTAAGCCTTAGCTCCTCCTCTCTTCTAAATCAGTGCAATGTGGGGCATTCACGCTCATCGCCATTGCGTAGGCGAGGAAACTGAGGCCTTGGAAAGTTAAGTGATCTGCCCGTGGTGACAGAGCTAGAGAAGCAGCAGAGTTGGACCTCTCACCAGGTCTTCTATTTTGGAGTTCATCTGTCCTGTTCCCATGGCTCCTCCTCCCAAGAAGTTGTCCAGATTTCAGGGAAGTGGTTTGTGGGAAAGCCAAGAGCCAGTGTTGGTCCTGGGTACCATGAATCACAGTGACTGTAGAGAGTTGGTGGGAAGGGCATGGTTAGCAGCACTGTTACTGTCATCAGATAGGCCTGGATTCGAGTCCAGTTTCTGCTCCTCACTGTGTGTGTGACCCTAGGGGACTTGCTTATCCTCTCAATCAGTAGCATCTATCTGACCTGCCTGACTCTTTTGAGGCATAGAAATAACGCGTAAAGAGCAAGCACATAGAAAGTGCTCAATACATGCAATCACCATGATTCTCATTTGATAGAAGGGTGTTTTGGTAGCTAATGTTTAACTGCAGTTTTTAGCATGGATTTTGAAATCAGAAAATGGTGGATTTGGCATAGAGCTTTCTCACGCCTCTGATTTGTGACTACTAGAAAAAATTTATTCCTATTTGGGCTTTGACTTGGCTGCATCATAAAGGCAAGGGAGTTAATTGTGATAAGCGTGATTTTATATCTGTAACCAGCACTCAATGACCTGTGAGCGAAATTGGCTTTGAGTGTGGAATCTCAATGGGATGACTGAGGTTTTGTTATGTAAGCAAGTAGATTATGCCTTGGCTTGAAGGGGCTCAGTTTTAGGCCTCATGCCTGTTCTGACGGACAGACTCAGGGAAAGAGCAAGACCCTTGGGCTTTAGATGTGAAACCCTGAAGGGTAGAAAGAGAGGCTGCCTCCAGACTGAAAGTCTGGCCAGTAATTCAGGCCACAGGGTGGAGAAGAAGAATCTAAGCTTTGAAATTAGATAGTTCTGAACTCCACCACTCACTATGTGACCCTGGGTTAGTTGTTCAACCTAATGGAATATGGGACTTATGCTGAACTTGTGGGGTTGTTGTGAGGTTGAGAAAACATGAAGTGCTTTGGCAAAGTGTAGTAATAATAATAAGAGCTCATTTTTATTGGTCCTGATGCAGGTTGGACACTCTCTAAGCCTTTCACTTATACTGACTCAATAGAAGGCCTTCTATAGAGTTACTTCCCCTGTGTTCTACCTGCTGTCTCTCATTCTCATCTCTAGCCCCTAGCACATAAGAATGGGTTTAGAAGAGCCCCACTTGACTTAATGAAGTGAAAGGAAGAGCAGGCCCTATAACCAAAAGACATGAGAATTTGATGAAAGCTGTGGTCTCCTCCATAGGCAGACAGACACACACACATGCACACACACACACACAGGCACACATACACAGACACACACATACACTTTACATCAATCTCAGGCTGTTCACCATTTCCTGAAGTCCCTCTATGGTACCCAGAGGAGATCCAATGGACACTAGCTTAAGAATCCTTCCTCTAGGAATATTGCATGGGTTGTTCTTCTGAAGCGTACCTACTTCAATTCTTTGCAGCTTTATTTTCATGTTACAGTGGCTTACAACTCTGTATTTATCCTAGGAGCCCTAAGATTATAAATAACTTTTAAAGAAAACAACCCCAAAGTATGACTGTTGGGCCAGCTGTGGGTCCTTGACAAGGTTTACATATGTCATGCTTTAAGGTTGAAGGTTTTGAACAAGTGCAATTCAGGAAACCACACATTTCCTCTCAGGCACTGTAGCTGGCCTTTATGATGGGGTTTCCGGTTGCCTTTCCTGCCTGCTTTGCTGTTGTCCATCCTACCCTGTTCTCAAGCCTAACTTTGGAGTCTTCTGCCCCAGTTCCTGAGAAATCCTATTTTGTAATTTCACTGTACAACCAAGAAAAGTATCATTTGTTCATGCGTCAAATATTTTTTGAACTCCTGCTCTGTGCCAAGCATGGGGGTGAGGGGGATGAAGCATGTGGGCACTGAGGGACATACAGCAGATAAGGAAAGGCAAACATCATGTTGTGTGACCTCTACAGGCTTATACATTTTTATATTAGCTTTCAGAGTAACCAGGTTAAGTACATTTTTTCCTTAAAAGGGAAACCTTTAATGAAAATATCTTAGGCTAAGTTAATGGTAAAATTACCTCCATTATCTACAGAGCTGTACCAGGCTGCTTAATTGGGTTATAGGACAAATCTTCTGAAAATATATGACATCATGTGGATGACTATTTTAAATATATAATTATATTATGGCAATGTAAACATAAAAATCATAGATGCTCATGGACAAGGCTCAGAAGCTGACATAGGCAAATGAAAGCATTCACTTACACTTGAGAAGGGATGGTAGAAAAATGTCTCCTTAGATTCTTATATTTTCAATATTGTATTTGTAATAATTATTTTAAAAGACTTTAAATGTAAAACAAGTGATATGGTTTAGTTCTGTCCCCACCCAAATCTCATCTTGAATTGTAGCTCCTATAATTCCCACGTGGTCATGGGAGGGAACTGGTGAAATGTTATTGAATCATTGGGGCAGGTCTTTCCCGTGCTGTTCTGTGATAGTGAATAAGTCTCACAACAACTGATAGTTTTATAAAGGGTTTTTAATAAAGTTCCCCTACACAAGTTCTCTCTTGCCTGCCGCCATATAAGATGTGACTGCTCCTCATCCACCTTCTGCCATTATTGTGAGGCCTCCCCAGTCATGTGGAACTGTGAGTCAATTAGACCTCTTTCCTTTATAAGTTACCCAGTCTCAGGTATGTCTTTATTAGCAGCATGAGAACAAACTGATACAACAAGTGTGTGCTTACGGTGGGGATTTAGGAAGGCGAAAAAAGGAAAAAAGAACATTTTTTTTTCTAGATCCATTCTAACTATGCTTCTAAATCTTATCCATTGCTCACTTCTACTGAACTCCAAGTGATATTTTGGGCTGGGGATTGTGAAGAGCAAGAAATGGAGAGGAGGGATGCTAAAAAACAACAAACAAACTTAGCCCTCAAATTTGGAGCATGTTCTGCATGCTAGAGACCATGCTAGACATTTCTTCACATTCAGGACATGGAGTGGTAGTGTAGCAGTGTGGCCATAATGTGTTAGGTCCTGGGAGTCATGCTGTGTGAACTTAAATCTCAGCTTTGCCCCTTGCTAGCTCTGTACCCTTGCATAATCTTCTAACCTTTCTAAACCTCAATCCCCTTGTCTGTAGAAATGAGGGAAGGAGGGTGAAGGGGGATAATTGGACTGAACTCTTAGAGTAGTATCTGGTTTAAATAAAATAATCTGCATAGAACAACAGTTATCAATCTTGGCTGCACTTTGGAATCCCCTGGAGAGCTTTAAACCTTTCTGATGCTTCAGCACCCCAAAATGATGATATCAGACTCTTTGTGGGTGCCCTCCAGGCTTCAGTATTTTTTTGAAGTTCCCCAGTGTGCAGCTAAGGTGAGAATGTTAAGCACTGTGCTGTGGCCTGCTCTGCCACACTCTGCGTGGCTCTGTAAGTGATGTTCATTAATGTTTTTATTCCTGCTGACTGCACTGCAGAAGTTTTCTTGCATAAGGAAAGTGAGACTCAGAGAGGTTAATAACTTGTTTAAGTTCACATAACTGGTATGTGATGAGTCTCAAATGGCATCCAGGTCTTTTGGATTCCCCAAGCCTCTCCCTTGGAGAAAGAATTGCAGAGAAGACCAGAGAGTCAGAGAGAAAGGAGGGACCCTGCAACTTCCTCTATCTGCTCAGAAGTCAAGAGGTAGAACTACCACCAGGGACAGACCACATGTCAGTGCCCTGTGTTTCTGTGGTCATACAATGTCTTGTGGTGGTCTGCCCAAATATTTTGACATCTGTTTGCTATTTGCAGGTAGTTTAATAAAATCTTCGTTTTTGTTTGATTCTTATTCCTGCTTTTCAGGCTTCCCCAACCTTTTGTCTAGCAAGAATTTCCATTTTGATCTTTGGCTGCTAAATTGAGATTTACACATGGACTTCTGTCCATGACGTGGAGTGGTAGTGTAGCAGTGTGGACTTCTGTCCATGTGTAAATCAGGATCAGGATCTCTGTATGTGTAGGAATTTGAGAAAATATACTTTCAAAAGATCAACATGAATTTTTTGAAAACGTCTTTGGGTGATGACCTGAGAGTAAAGAAGTGGTGGAATAATCCATTTGTAACCTGATTATAAGTTGTGAGGGTTCATTCATTGCTGAGCTTTTCTAGCAGCTTGCATAAGCTTCCAAGAGATGGTGTTGGCAGGTGTGTCTGGTTTGGTTGCCTGAGAAAAGCAGACTCTGAGATGGAGATGAGGATAGGATATGTAGCATACCTATTAGGAAGTGCTTTTGAGATTAACACCTGTGAAAAAGAAGGAACAGAAACAGGATTGAGTTGAGAAATTGGGTTGTGATAGTTCCAGTG